ATCTCTTATTCGTATTGTTTGTTATTGAATTGTTATACATCGTATTAGTCTCGTGCGCCTAGTTATTTGTTTTTTAACATCGTTAGTTAATTGCATACGTATGTACTTGTTAAGTGCTTGTACATATATTTTTACTTATACATATCATATTACTTATTGATTACTATCCTCGGCACTATCCTCTCCCGAACCGATATATCGAATCGAAATTCCGCCACGTGATCACGCGTGGCATACTGACAAAATCTTCTTTAAAGTTTGTTTATGTTAAGGTTAAGGTTTATGTTAGGGTTAGATGTCAGCGTGGTATATAGCATAAATGGTAGTTTCATGTACAGTCGATACTGTCTAAATGCCATCGGGAAAGGCAAAAAAAAATAATTTTATGCATTTATACAGTATTAACTAATCAAGTACAGAAAATTAACTGTCTAAATGCAATATTACTACGTATTAAATTTTTTTTTAAACAATTATGCATTTAGACAGCAACTTTTTTTGATTTAATAAAACTAACGTTTTCGGATGATCGTATTAGGTACACCCTGCATGATGCAGTATTACAGTCAAGTTTAATAAACGGTTTATGAATGATTGTAAGTTCCGTTTTCAAAGTATTTTTCAGATTGACTAGAGATGATCGGATGATTAAATGTGCGGTCAATTCCTCTAATCCCGACACTTATCTTGATACTGTTGCATTAACTTAGTATGCTTAATAAAGACTTACATACAACAAATTAGTGTAATTAGTGTAATTCATAATAGTATCCATGGCTATTATTCAATTTAAAAAGTAAAGTTCTTGAATAAACCCAGGATACTGTATGCAGTATCGATAATAGAAATTTCATATTACTTTTTAACGTTAAATGTTGAAAAATATTTTCTAATAAGAGCAAATATGCTTAAAAAGTATAATATTTTATTACTTGATCCCTCCTTAATATCTAAATTGTGTTTGTAATCACATCTAATCACTAAAAAGACAATAGTTATTTAATTACAACACCGTTATTTTTTTCTAAAAAATAATTACATTATAAATGAGCTAATGAATTAATTAAAAAGTGAGTTATTCACAACCAAATAAAGTAACTATTGGACTTTTATACGAATACAGTCATCTTGAGCACCTCGGTTAGCGACAGGCATGATCACACCTTGATGACCGCGAGAACTGTTCATTGTACAGATTCTGTATTGTCCTGGAGGCAAAGCATCAACAGTAACGGACAATACGCCATTTTTAGCAGGATCATTTAATCCCTTGAAAAAGGCAGGGTTTTGAGGATTTGGAGGTACATTATCGAAAAATTTTTGAACAGTAATGTGGGAATGCCCATTAATAAGTCCTTGTGCATTAAGTTCTTGAGACTTTGCGTAATACTGTACGTCAGGATCATCGAAGAATCCTGTTGCCAAATTGTCTATTCTTACATTTACATCGAATTTTTGAAACGCTTTGACTGTTTCACCATTTTTAGGGGATGTAATTATGCAGGAAGTCATGTGATTTACGTCTGGAATTTCACCTAGTTGAGTATCAGCGCAACTTTTTTGTCCTGCTTGTTTTCGTTGTTTGCCACCAGTGAGTTCAAGACCACTTTGAGCACAAAATCCTTGATTGGGATTTTTTGGATTTTTATTCCCGTCAAAACCCTGGGGAGGGTTATTCTGGGGAGGGTTATTCTGGGGAGGGTTTTTCGGGGGAGGGTTTTGCGGGAATCCCTTACCGGAACCCTTACCGAAACTCTTACCACTAGGAGGAAATTTGCCCTTGCCCTGGGGTAAAGCTGCAGGCAAGGCTTCGATAAGATCCAAAACTACGAAAGCAAGAACAACTACGAAAACAACAAGTGAGGTCTTCATTATAGTGAATTAAAATCTTATTGGTTGTGAATTAAAATCTTATTGGTTGTGAATTAAAATCTTATTGGTTGTAAATTAAATTAATTGCACCAGGCAACCGAATGAACAACCGAATGAAGAAAGAGGAAACAAAAATATTTATGCTTCAAGCAATAAACGTTATTTTTTGAGGATAAAGACGCTATGAGTGCGCTCTTTTATATCTGAAAATTTCATTGCATTTATTATATTTGTGCTATTAAATATTATTTGATTATTAATAAGAACTTCAAAGTATTCAGAAGATCTTGTATAAGAGAAATTTGACGCGTAACCAAAATAAATTGATCGTGATTTATTGGAGAATCATTCATGACAATTCAGATCTAAAGCAAATGATACGTACAAATTAATGTCGTTACCCTTGAAGGCTAAGTAAATAAATGATTGATTCATGAATTTGACGATCTCATGGTTCTTTGTCAGAGCTTTACTGTCTTTAGATGTTAGCATATCCATTAAAATATAGTACATAATAATTATTAATATTCCTTTATTTACGTACGTACCTAGTAATTATCATTTTGTAGTTTTTTTTTGGAAAACCTCCATATCATAAAAATTAATCTTAAATTTTTTTGTACTTACTAACCACGAATTTTTTTTTTAAAAGACCACTAAAATAGAATTGATGCTTAATCGAATTACTACATTTAGTGAAAAGGAATTTTAAAAAGTCTAGCAATTACCATTATTGGTAACACTAGGGTGATCTCGTGTACATACGTACGTACTCAAAACTGAGCGACTCCGAGATTTTCAAACACTTATAAAATCATTTTGATCTTCATATTAATTCGAAACTTACTGTAATATCACCTCGGAAATATTACCATCCACTATAAAAAACGACAAGATTAGAATTAGGAGATATTGTTAATTAAGTATACGCACACAAATTTTATGAACACATGCTACAGTTTTAGTAAATCAATATTTTGCATGTAGTACTGTTGCAGACAAGTCTAACGTAATTAAGGCTTCCCCTGCAATATCAAAGGATTTGCTCTGCTTGGTTAAATTAGCAGTGAGCCTAATGGTGCAGGTGAATTAACATAAAAGGTTACATTAAATGGTTTTAATATAATATTACAAAATCTAACCCGAGCTCTTGGATCAGTAATAAAATTTCATTAGAAATTTATCAAGATTTGCAAAAACTAATCAAACTTTATTAAATTTATGAAAAATTTTTTTATTCTAATTCTACGTATCCATAAAACAAAACATTTGCTCTTGATCTGCTCTTGATTCATTTTTCTTGGCATTTTTGAAATCTGTGTCGATCACTAAATTGTGTAAATTGCGATCACTAAATTGTGTAAATTGTAAGAGCAACTAAAATCCATCAAATTCAGTCCCGACGACGAAACATTATGGCACACAATAAATTTACTTACGCACCATATATGTTCCTGATCAGGGCTGATTCTAGTAGATAATAAATGATAAATTTGAAAGTCCGGAGTCTGTTTTTTTCTTGGCGTCACGGTAAAATAATGGAGGCAGAAATAATTCGCGATCAGATGATTTCTGATCGTTCTCCTCATAATGTAATATTAACATACAAAATTCAT